TTGCCTGCTTGGGACTGGTAAAACAGGAGGCTTGTCAATAACTTGTAACACTCCACCAGAATATACACTTGAGGTGTTCTACTGAATCTGAAAATTGTATTGCATTTGAAAGATTGCTCAGGCCTAATGAGGAAATCAAAGCTCTCCTTCAACACTCTGGCTTGTCACTAGAGGTCAGTGTATTTTCAGTTACTGTAATTGCTTGAATTACCCAGAGGAGGGGAAAAACGTGATTGATTATAGTGATTGTGATTTAAAAAGGGTCAGTAGGGGAAATTAAAATTGAAATCAAATCAAATTAAAGTGGAAGCTGAAGAGAAGCAGCTACATGCAATATTTCTTTAGAAGTACCAAGAAAGTTGAATGTTTGAAGAGGTAAACATTCTGAAGTGTTTCAAACATGCATTACAATGCCATAATCTCAACAGGATACAGGAAAATGGAATGCATATATTCTGCTTGTTTTTGTTGCTTAACACGGTAAGAAATATTCTAAAACCTTGTGCTTCATTGTCTTGTTCTATGAATCCTGGGAAATACGTTTCTCATGCTTCACAATATGTGTACGTTCTTTATGTCACACTACAAAATAAATATATGGTACTCATAAAGAGATATTGCATTCATTTTGAGAGAAAGAGGTAGAAGAGTATGGAAAAATTAAATCATCAGAAATATTATTCCGTCTCTTATTAAATCACAGTACATCAATATATTGCTACCATCTTAAATTCATCAAAAGTGTGTCACTTTGCACAAGGGAACTGTACGTCTGTAATTAATTTGCAGGTTTTTTTGAGAGTTTCTTATGCTGTCAGAAAGTCTCAAAGAGACTGGAGATGGAGGCTTCTCATGAAGAGATACCAAAGGGTAAGGAGATCTTGCAAGATGCTGGAGGACATGGTCCCTCCCCTAGGATTTTTCTGCTACCTTCAGGTCAAATGTAATTGAGAATAGTTTACCATCACTGATGCTAGTTTACCATCACTGATGCTGAAGTAAGACAACATCACCATGAGAAAGAGTACAAAAATACTATCTTGTCCTTTGCCTTAAGCAAGAAAATAGACCAGCCGTGATGCCATCATGACAGCCAATGTAGTGTAGTGAATAAAGTGTCAAAGACTCAAGAGAACTGGATTGAAATTGTTACTTAACCTTGGAAAGTCACTGGGGATACAATATTGAAAACTTTACTAAGGTGATCATCCGTTTGTATTAACCTAATGTAGCATAATCAAGATTGCAGTACCAGCTAAGCTGATCTCAGTTTCCTAGTTCCAAATGAATGAATAAAATTATTATTATTATGTGCCATCAGTTTGATTTTGACTTGTGACAACCTTTTCTAGCAATGGAATACAGTATTCAAAAGTGGTTTACATTTTCCCTTCCTTGGGGGCATCCTGGAAATGTGCAGCTTGCTCAAGGCTATGCAGGCTTACTCTTTTCCTGCCACACAGAGTCGGGAATTGAACCCCCAACCTCTAGCTCTGCAACCAGATCCCTGACTCACTGGATAATCCTTCTTTAAATGTCATGGAAGTTTTGTTTTAATTTTATTGAAAATGACTTAATGAGATGGGTCCAGGCACAGAGCTAAAATCCAGGGTTAGTCCAAAGTACAGCAGACCCATTAAAATCAATGAGGCTCATTCATCCGAAATTATGTAAATCCACGTTATTTTCTTAAGACTATTCAAATGGAGACCAAGATATTAGTCCATTCTGATGTCACTTCTTTCACACATGGACACAAAAAGCAATCCCTGACATCATGTATCCACTGGAACTGTTCCCAATCCTCTAGAAAATTAGAACTACCGACTAAAGAAATTACTAGTTTAAAAAATGAAATACAAATGCCAACTATCCATGAATTTGGAACAGGTTTATGCCTACTGTGGAAATGGTTAGACTGTTATCTAAATATTTTGCATAAACTCACAATGTGGCCTATTATGGATCTACATTTTGGATTTTCTTTTTCTTATATGCATGATGGAAAACATTCTCTGTATTATTCTAAATGTGGCATTCCAGCAGAGGCAGCTTGTGATCCAAATAGGAAGTGCATGTTATCTTAAAATCCCCCCTCCCATTCAGACCACAGATGGTCTATGCATTTAATAAATTTTATTAAAGTTCAAATAGACCATTTGTTTTCCTTTGACTTCATGGAAGGTTTGTTATGTTCATAAAAGTCTGCGTCCACTGAGGCTTTCCGGAAGGAAGAATTTGAACTGCAAAAACATAGCTAAACCTTGTCCTTTGAGCCAATCCCCAAGCACATTGCATTAGTCTCTGAAGTGCGAGAAATACCTAAAGAGCTTTGGAGTTAATTACAGCTAATTGGGAAAAAAAAAGCAGATGACATTTGCTAACAGAACAAAGTCCAGAAGCTCTTGCCGAAAGCCAGTTCACAAGCTAAGAATGTAACAACCGGGCATTCTCTCTTCTTTCCAGCTGCTATTTGATCCTTGCCATCTGCAGAAAATAATAGAGGAAAAGAGTTCCCATCTGGGAACATAACAAGTAATGAACAAAGAGGGAAATTATTGCCCATTAGCAAGAAGGTTGAATCAAACAGTGGTTCCATGCCCTCTTAACTGCAGTCCTCAGAGGAACATCAAAGATACAATATTTGACTTAAGATATGATGATGTGATGATGCCAAAGTCCAAAATTGAAGAAAGAATCATTGTAGCCATTGTATATAAAGAGCCAAAAGTTAATAAGCAAATACAATGGAGTTGTTAGAAGAATATATATTGTCTGTTAGGCAGTGCCTTCCATTTTATCCTACCTCTTAGATGCTGGATGAAAGCAGCTGGAGGACATCGAGGTATAGAGATCTAGTGAGTTCTCTCAGTAACACATAACTTCAGAGTCCCATTGAACAGGAAGCACAGTACTGTATCTCCTTTTGCACCATCTAGGACCTACCATTTCTCACAGTGTCGCTAATGGAGTAAATCCCATGGCACTTTCTTCAAATTCCTTGCATTTTTTTCCTCTGCATGTAGGTTCTGTATTTTTTTAAAACAATCTATGATCTTGGAATTCATTCTGCTGGCGTAGATCACTGCAGACGTCCACTACAGACTAGTACAATCTGTAGCTAGGCTAAAGTTGGGTTCACAGGACAGGTCCATTTATAACACACACCTTCCCCCCTCTGTCCCCCTCTTTCTTTTTTCTTCAGAGACTCCCTGCCTCCTCTGGGCCAGGTCTGTGGGCTGCTTGTGGACCAAATATAGACCCCAAAGAAAAAAAAACAAACAGCTGAAAAATATACAACTGTGCCCTTTTTACCATACAGTGGGGTCTTGACTTGAGAACTTAATCCGTATTGGAAGGCGGTTCTCAAGTCAAAAAGTCTGTAGGTCAAGTCTCCATTGACCTACAGTGCATTGAAAACCGATTAAGGCAGTTTTTGTTCCATTTTGGTTTTTTTCTGGTCTGTAAGTCAATTCTCAGGCTGCAAGTCAAACCTAAATTTTGCGGCCAGAGAAGTCTGTAACTCAAAAAGTCTGTAAGTCAAGCCGTCTGTAAGTCAAGGGTCCACTGTAGTTGGGCTCTGCAGCACCTCAAGGTGCTCCATATCTCTGAAATGTTTTTAGAATTATCATTAGAGGTCACAAGGAGGCTTTTTCCAGTTCAAAATTTAAGAAATATATTAGCAGGATATCAGAACAGGTGCTGCAGATGGGGCAGCTTTTTCAGAATCAAATGTAATTTCTTCTCAGGAGGGGGAGGAACTGACCCACTCATAAAACAGGCCAAAGGTAAAGGTAAAGGTTCCCCTTGACATTTAGTCCAGTCGTGTCCGACTCTAGGGCGCGGTGCTCATCCCCGTCTCCGAGCCGTAGAGCCAACGTTTGTCCATAGACAGTTTCTGTGGTCACATGGCCAGTGTGACTAGACACGGAACACCGTTACCTTCCCGCTATTGTGGTACCTATTTATCTACTTGCATTTTCATGCTTTCGAACTGCTAGGTTGGCAGGAGCTGGGACAAGTGATGGGAGCTCTGTTCCGTGGATTCGATCTTACGACTGCTGGTCTTCTGACCTTTCAGCACAGAGGCGTCTGTGGTTTAACCCGCAGTGCCACCATGTCCCTTTTAAAACAGACCAAAAGGGGGGCATAAATATAGTAGAATAGCTCCCCATACTTACAAAAGCATACTACAGTTGATTTTCAAGTAAAAAAAGAGAGAGAACATTTTTGATTTGGGGGGGCATGGGGTTATGTGGGCACGGGGTGCTGTCCAAAGCCTGAGAGATGTGTGTGCAGCCTTTGGACTTTCAGAAGTTGTCTTTTCCTAAAGATACATCACTTCTTCCCCATGTGAAAGATCATGCAAAACTTCTGCAACCCCATCTTTGTTAAACTTGGAAGCTACTTCCTATAAATATTAAATATTCATATTTGAATTGGCCTCTAAAACATTGGTACATTGTAAACCCAAACCCCAGTATCTGTCTTTCATGCAGGCTGCCCTTGCTGCCCTTTTGCTCCTGACAACATCAACCCCATCTTTGTTAAACTTGGAAGCTACCTCCTAAAAATATTAAATACAGTATTCATATTTAAATTGGCCTCTAAAACATTGGTACCTTGTAACCCGAAACCCCAGTATCTGTCTTTCATGCAAGTTGACCTTGTTTAGCCCAGGGGCTGATTTCTAATTTGGGAAGAATTGCATGGGTCAATTTCCAAAAATGAGCAGGAGTAAGAGTGTACAGTAGGGTCAAAGCAAAATGTCCAAGGCCACATGTAATTTTACTGATTTCGATAAGCACTGGAGTCAGACAAATAGTCCAATCTGTTTTTTATTAGACACTTTCATTGCAACAGATAAGTTCTGTGATCTCCTAAGTACGTATTTCTTCAGAGTTGTATTCAGAGTTTAGAACTAGTTGGTTGGAAATAATTGGTAACTTGGAATTAATTCCTTATTTCCAGTTCCAGAGATACAGCACCCCTTATCAGTAGTACCAGCTGATAAGGGATGTTGTAACTTTCTTTATAGTTTAACTGCAACTCTTCAGTTACTTTTATAGTTACAGGGTGTAAGCTCACTGAATGTTGGAGGAAGAACAGCACGTGCTTCAAGTGCCAGCTTCTGATGTTTGTATCTCATACTCTGTTGCTGGTGATGCACTGAACCAGAGGGAGATGCATTTTGTATCACAGGCCGGCAACTCGTGCCATTCACATGTTTTTTAAAATAACTAAAAGTAACTAGTTACTTTTGAGAATTGGACAGAATCATTACTTTTAAAGATGTCACATTAATTTTAACAATAACTGGCTGAAATCCAGTAATAAGTTGCAACTAGAGTAGGCCTGTCGAATCAATGGGACTTTAATGAGTCAGCTTCTCTAGAAGTCGTATTAATTCAGTGGACCTAATTCAGTTGCAACTAACTGCTGGACTTCAGTCATTAGGTTCTTTAAAATGTCGACGATTCCTTCTTTAAAAGGAACTTGACAAGCTCTGTCCCTTTTCCAGTCCTTTGCAATGTGCACAGACAGACTTTGATTTATGATTTAATTATCAGTACTTTAAGATACTTGAGCAGTTACAAGATCAGGCTGTTTGTATCCCTGGAGATGCGAGTGGGGTTAGGTGTAGCATTCCTCTGTGTTGCTTAAGACTTCTGTTATGAAAGAGAAAGCAAAACAGCTGGGCAGAGACTGAAGGATTGTGTTGAGACCGAAGGATTGTGGACGGCTCCCCCCCCTGCTTCAGAACTGCATTTTTCTTCCAAGAGAAGGACGTGAAATTTACCGCCATTTGTTGTGGAGCTGAGGATTTCTGTGAACATGAAGGTAAGACGAAGACTGAACCAATTTCTCCCGAGTCAAGAAATGCTAATGAAATTGACACAGAGCACTTTCTGACCAAAAAGTGTGATACTGGCAACACTGCAAGAGACGTTGTCTGTGGGAAGGTTATGTGGTTGCTGTCAGGAAACAGCTGTAATTGGAATTCATACATGTAAAGTATGCAATATTTATAAGCAACATCTTTTTACAGGAAAGGTCTGTCTGATTCAGCTTCAAAAAAAAAAAATCAGACCAAACATTAGTGAAACATGCATCCACCTGAATCATAAAACAAAGAGTCTCTCTCCTCTTTTTAGGTACTTGGAATTTTCATTTTCTTGGAAACTGTGGGAACTTTCTCTGCTTTTTCAAGGTAGGTGGTTCCTGGAGATTTGTAATGTTTTTTTCTTCTTCAAAAGGCATTGGTGTTTTATTAAGCACAAATGGGATCTAAAATAATAGCTTGTTGTGGTACCTTGAAAGTGTGCTTCCTTTCTGGGTCCCGGCTAGCCATGCTCTCTCCCAGGATACAGCATAATCAGAATCGAGAAAGACCCTTCTTGTGAAAGATATAGCACACACACACAGGTACTCTGATTTAATTTTGAGGCCAATGTAGGGCTTTGGGGTGCATCCCAGTTTGGCCCAGAGCACATTTATGCTGCATCTGAGCTTTGAGTTGATTATGCCCCAGGTCTCAGTAAATTTGTAAGCTGCCCATTAGAACACAAAAATGGTTGTAATTCTTTGGCTTTTTTGCTAATCCAAGTAAAATTTGGAGACACGTTGGATCCTGATCGGCAGCACAAATGTGTCGAATTTAAGACCGCTGGCTTCCAAGATTTGTGCAGTAAGTACTTTTTAGGTTTGCTTTTTTCAAGGACAGCAGAGGAAAAGCCTGAAGCAATTTGTGCTCCACCTGATTCAATTTGGACACAAAGCTGATCTGTAAATTTGCTTTCATTGCCTGGAACAGAATCTGGCTGTCTGGCTTTGATCTTGACATAGACATCAGGCTGAATTGGGGCAATCTGGGTAGCGATTCAGGATTTGTTTTAATCTGGTACATAGTTCTAGATTTTAGTTCTGTCTTGTGCTAGCAAGTCCTCTTCTCTGGTGCAATACCTTTATCAATTTGACTGGCCTGCTTTGAGTTTACAGTTGCTATATAGGAATGTATGAACCTGCTAAATGTACCAAGCTGCTAATCAAGTCTTGGGTCATCTGCTCTAGTACCTCTGTAGCAGCTTTCTCTTACCTACCTGTCTCTCTCCCAATGTAAGGAGTGCAACTACTGTATTATCATGATCCACAACTGGGGAGTCTGATAGTAGTACACCATATCTGAATGTCAACAGATTAGAACAGTGGGTCCCCAGATGTTATTGGACTACAACTCCCAGAAATCCTGGCCAGCACTGCTTGTGCTGAAGACATCTGGGGGTTTTAGTCCAAGAGTACCTGGGGACCCAAGGTTGGAACTACTGGATTAGGGGATTGCCTGTTGTCTGGCTATGGTGCAGAGGACAGCCTGCTGTTGTTGTGGCAACTGCTAGGTGAAATGGTCTTCCCATTGAGATTAGACTGTCCTCTGATGTGTACTCAGGCATTTTCCCGATTGTTAACATTATCAGTTATCTCTATATTTAATGAATTATTTTTCATGGATTTTATTGTTTTGATCATTTATAGTCATGTGGATCTACTGGGGCTTTATGTATTTGTTTTTATCATAAACTTCTTTGAAGATTTTAAAATCAAAAGATGGATAGAAAGATTCAGAAATAAATAAATAATCTCTTCCCCAACAGTGCAATAATTGGCTTTTTTCCTCTTCTTCTTCCTTTTGCGAAATCCAACAGGCCTGCTTCTCCAGTTCACTGCAGATGGAATTCATTTGGTCCTTGGTCAGAATGTGATGGCTGTACTAAGACACAGGTATAATATTATAAATGTGTATGTGTATAAGCTGGGCTTTCCATCCAAAATTCATGGTCTCATGAATTTGGATCCACAAAATGGGATCCACTACCCTAAAGGATTGTTTGTTTGTTTGCTTTTTATTTAGGTTCACAGACGAACTGTAGCAGCCTATGGTCAGTTTGGAGGACACCCATGTTCTGGGAGTTCTTTTGAATCCCGCCCATGTGTTGCTACTCGAGGGTGTCCACTGGAAGAAGGATGTGGTGACCGTTTTAGATGCTCATCAGGTATGTTCAAATGCATTAGCTGAAACCAGTGGAATATGTTTGAGAGAAAACAGAGGATTCTCTAGAGACCCAGGGGAAAAAATGGTTGCAGAACAAGATCCAAAGGCCTGGAACTTAACTTCTTAGGACTGATAAGAATGTGATAAAAAATTCCACTCAAATTATGTCTAATTTTTTTCAAATGCTTTAAAGTAATAATATAAAAAGCAATAGTATGTGGAATATAGTATATATAACTTCTTTTCCACCTGTTAATATTGCTCTTGAAATGGAGTTTCATTACTGCTAAAATATAGTATAATATAATATATCCGTATTTTTCGCTCCATAAGACGCACCTTTCCATAAGACGCACCATTTTTTTAGGAGACGAAAACAGGGAAATATAATCTGTTTTCTTCGCTCCATAAGACGCACAGACTTTCCACCCCCCCTGTTTTGTGGGGGGAAAGTGCGTCTTATGGTGCGAAAAATACGGTAATCATAGAACTGCAGTAGTACACTATGGTTCATCGAGTCCAGCCCCTATCAAGGAGGCACAGTGGGAATTGAACTCCCAACGTCTGGCTCTGCAGCCAGATATCTAAATGCTATCCAGCAGTTTCTGTAATTGTTATAGGTAATTATATTTCTTTTAATATGTTACTGCCAGGCTCTGGTCAGGTGTCAAACTTTCACACTCATTGTATTATAAATTGTTGGAGTCGGACACTAGGACTGGTTTTGTGTGATCTTCCTACCTCCACTATAGATTATTCAAATGATGGTTAAGAACTTGAGTCTATTCTGTAGGTAAGTCCAAAAGTTTCTTTCCTGCATTATTATAATATATATTCATTGCCCTTATAGGACAGTGCATTAGCAAATCATTGGTGTGCAATGGAGATCATGACTGTGAGGAAGATGGAGCTGATGAAGATCGATGTGATAAGGTCACAACAGTGTGCGAGAACATTAAACCTCCACTTCAGCCACCTCCTAATGTTGAGCTTACAGGAGCAGGGTGAGTTTCTTTGTAGCTCCCAGTAATAAAGTTACCACAGTCATTATTGAAATCATCAGTGTGTTTTCCATGTGTATTATGTTGTGGACATGTGCTTTGAAAAAACAAATTTTTCCCAGGCTTAAAGGTGCTTTCAACTCATGGATGATTGCAAAATTCATGACCAGTGCAGATTGTCCTGTTTGCTTATAAAAGGGATGAGGAGAAATAGTGTATAAATAAATAAATTGCTGATAAAGTGTTTCCATTTTCTATGCCCTGCACATGGATTTAAGAAATAAGACAGAGTCACAGTCTAGAAGAGTTGACAGGAGGAGGGATATTTGAATTACTCCTTTCCCTGAGCTGGCTCAATCAGAGGGAGCATTTTTGTTTTCTTTGATGCCAACATCAAAGAGAACACTAATTCTTCGTGAATTTCCAAAGGGGTAGCTGCATTATTCTGTTTCAGTATGTTGACAAAAGAAAAAGGGGGGAAAAGCAGGCACAGTATTGTATTATTTTAAAGACTGGCAGATTAGTTTCAGTAGGAGTTTTTTTTTTTAAATCAAAATCCACTTTTTCAGACACCGGAATACAAATACATCTCACCTACATTTATTAATGTCGGTGAAAACCTTTATCCTGGTGAGGATGGAGATAACAGTCAAAGTGACATTGATTTGCTATTCAATCACATGCATTTCTTAATATTAATCTTCCTATGTCAACAAACCATTGTCGCTTTGTTTATTATCTCTATCCTCACCAAGACATGAATGTTACCGAGGTGGAATAAATATAGGGGGCATTTATACACACTTCTGTGTCTGATGAAGAGGATTTTGACTCACAAAAGCCGGCTCTAAAATAAATCTGTTAGTGTTTATAACGATCCAATGTTTTGTCTCCTGTTTCTTTTCTTTTGCCAGTTCCTCATGAACGTACATGTAGTTTTCATGAGCAGACGAAATGGCTGCTGAGGGAGAGAGTTCTGGGAAGTGGGTGTCAGATGACAGGTTCATCTGAGCCAATGGAGAGGGCCATGCTGTCCCATCTTTCTCTCAGGGGCTGCCATGTGGAATAGCTGGTAGAAGGAGGTCATTCTTTCAGTTGAACACTGACTTCTAAAACAGCCAAAACTCTTATGATCATTTCCCCCCCACCAGGAGTTGCCTACCTGCTTCCCTAGGCAGGATCCTCCTCCTGTTGTAGTTGTTGTTGTTGTTGTTGCTGCTGCTGCTACTGTTGTTGTTGTTGCTGTTGTTACATGCCGTCAAGTTGCCTCTGACTTATGGCGACCCTATGAATGAGCAATTTCCAAAATCACCTGTCCTCAACAGCTCAGCTCTTGCAAACTCCAGCCTGTGATTCTTTTAGAGAGTCAATCCATCTTGTATTTCGTCTTCCTCTTTTCCTGCTGTCTTCCACTTTCCTCACCTTATTATGTTTTCTAGAGAATTTTGCCTTCTCGTAAGGTGCCCAAATTAGGGCAGCTTCAGCGTTCAATAATTTTACCTCCAGAGATAGTATTTCGTCTATTTGACCTAGGAGCTGATGTTACCTAAGACCATTCTAAACATTTTATTTCCTGAGGCAAAGGGTGAAATGTTGAGCTCCTTCACTGTGCAGAGCTTGTGTCACTTGTTGCTGAAACAGACTAACATGGCCACTTCTCTGAAAATGACTGCTGTCCCTTATTTATTTATTTATTTATTTATTTATTTATTTATTTATTTATTTATTTATTTATTTATTT